AAACTCTTACACAAACACTTCCCGGAATCAAGCACCCTACACAAAATATTCAACAAAAACACAGTAAAAATCAGCTACAGCTGCACCGAGAACATGGCACAAATAATAAAAAAAGCACAACAGGAAAATTATCAACAAACCACACGAACAAATTAAACTCACGTGCAACTGCAGAATAAAGAACGAATGTCCCTTAAACGGAAATTGTTTACAAAACAACGTAATATACCAAGCCACGATAAAATCACCAGATAATGAAGAAAAAGTATACATAGGAGTAACTGAAGGACCCTGGAAACAAAGAAATTATACACACAAAACATCTTTCACAAATAGTAAATATGCGAACAGTATAATGCTTTCTAAGTACATCTGGGAAATTAAAAACAAAACGCACATCACACCAAAAATATCAAAAACTTGCAAACTTTGCTTGGAGGAAAAAAATAGCTATCATTACTTTCCCAGACCAAAATAAATTATTAAATAAAAGATCCGAGCTCATCTCTAAATGCAGACATGAAAACAAATTTTTACTACGTTACCTAAAAATTGAAAACGGAAAAAATATAATAAAAACAAATAAATAAACAAGTAAACAAAATAACAATAAAATAAGCGAAATTAATTAATCCAAACAAATTACCAAATCACACCTGTTAGAATAGAGGAAATAGAATAATAATATTAATAACAAAAAAAGAAGACAAAAAACAACGAACCCAAATAAATAAAGTAAATAATAAACTAAGTAGCAAACCATTATGACCAAAATATTAGTTAGACCAAAAAATCAAAGCAAAAACCGGACGAAAAAAATAGCTATAACTGTTATATAACGGAAAAAAAAAAAATAAATAAATAAATAAAATAAAATAAAAACAAAATAAAATATAAAATAAATAAATACTACGTTACTTAAAAATCGAAAACCGAAAAGAGAAAATATACAAGTAAAATAAATTGACATAAATTCATCCAATAAATAAACAAACCAATCCCGATAAAGTTACCGTTTGAAAAAACAAATAAAGATAATCAACCCAAATAAACACAAATTAAAAACTGTTCCTGCCAAAATAATAGTTAGAATAAACAACAACAACCAACCCCAAAACCGAACAAATAGCTTTAATTAAATTCTCAAACCAAAACAAAACTATTAAATAAGTGATATGAACAAATTTTTACTACGTTTAAAAAAAACACCGATTAGAAAATAAGTAAATAAATAAATAAATAAAATAAGAAACAAAAAATAAAATTAAATAAAAACAAGCAAAATAATTTAACCCAAATAAATAAATAAACGACTTCCGGTAAAATAACCGCCATAATAGACTACCCACAATGCACCACTGACCTGTATATGTATAAATAGCCGAGAAAAATGACAGCACTTGTGGCCTGACGATTGCATATAACATGAAACAGACTGTCGCCTCTAAGTGTTGACTTGCTAGTTTTGCGCGTTCAGGTATCGATTGTTGTATTTTCCGTCCTCTGTTAAAACACTTCCCAGATATTTAAACTTGTTTGTTGTGATCTCAACTTTGTATCTCGCATCTCGGGCTTTTTCTCAAGCTGACGATTATCTTGCTGTTTATGATTTGTGCCATTTTTTTTCAATTTCTCTTACTACCCTGCCTAGAGGGTCATGTAGTTTTCCTTCTGTGCCAGCCATCAAAAGAGTGTAATCGGCGTTTCCTATATTTTTATGATTACGCCAACTGATAATAAATCCCTGTGTGGGGTCTCCAGCTCTTACGGGAGCTCCTTACCTCGCCGTAGAGTTTGAATAAATCTGAAGAAAACACACATACTTGTCATTTCACTCCAGGCAAGGCAATAAAGCCACTAGGACGCAAGGGGTTTACTGAGTGTGTGAGAATATGAGAAAACTACTATTAAGAAGAGAGGGCAATAAAAGAACAAGAATTAAGAAGACAAGATAACTGCAATTTAAAATTTTGATGATCAAAGTTCACATTTTAAGCAAGAAGCCGGAAGAGAGTTCCACAAGCGAGAAGAGCGATAGGAGAAACTGTTAGTTTAGAACTTCCGGTTACATCTAGACATTTCGGCTGTAAAATGATGAGATCTTGCCGCTAATCTAGTACTAAGTTTAAATTCATAAAAGCTAACTATCATAGCGAGAAAGCCATCAGAACAATTACCATGAAAGTATTTATAGAAAAGGCACACAGAAGCTACATGACGGCAGTGGGAAAGTAATTGAAGCAGAGATAGTAATTTTCCAAGCACAGATTAGATGTGGCACAAGGCCGAAATTATGGAGCACCCAGTGAGGATCGAACTCTCTACTCAGTCGTAATTGTTCTAGCGAGACAAGGCCTTTCTAACCATTGCACCACGCCGAGGTGCCCATAGGTGATAGTTTTCTAAGCCCGGCTTAGATGTGGCACAAGGCCGAATGTATGGGGCACCCAGTGAGAATTGAACTCACTACTCAGTCGTAATTGATCTAGCAAGACAAGCTTTCTAACCATTACACCACGCCGAGGTGCCCATAGTGATTTTCTAAGCCCGGCTTAGATGTGGCACAAGGCCGAATGTATGGGGCACCCAGTGAGGATCGAACTCACTACTCAGTCGTAATTGATCTAGCAAGACAAGCTTTCTAACCATTGCACCACGCCGAGGTGCCCATACTGAAGCAGAGATATCAGGTCAGGACCAATACCTTTACGCATTCTTCTTTGGATTTTATCAAGAATCTCTAAATATATAGAAGAAGCACTAGATATACAGCAATATTCAAAGCAAGGACGAATGGTAGACATAAATATATAAGATAGATTCTGGCGAGAAAAAAATGTTTAGCACGACACAGTGCACCAACTTTCTTAGCTGGAGACTTAGTAATTGATTCAATATGCTCTTTCCATTTCGTAAAACTTTAGTTCATGAATGCGCAATGAGTCCCTCTTATGGCAGTTAGCAGCAGCTATGCTGATGGAAGATAAAAAAAAGGGTTCTCTCAGACGTTGAAAAGAGAGCGGTTTCGTTTTTGAGGTGTTAAAATGAACAAACCACTCTTTGTTTCATTGAACCACATTGTATGCCATTTTTGAGATCAGCTGCCAATTTGACCTTATCTAATTATGTGTAGCTCCTCAATTCATTTTCTATCTGGATACAGTACATGTTCTGGATTATTCTAACATCCTTCCCAAATAGAGTTTTCTTATCAGTTCAAATAGATCTATATGCTGCACCTTGTCAAATGCTTCTGTGTAATCTATAACACATAAGTGACTATCGCTCGGCATTTGTATTGCTCACCGTCTATCTCTCTCGCTCTCTCCCTCATTCCCCCTCTCTCTCTCCTTTTCTCCCTCTCCCCTTTCTCCTTCTTCAACCCCCCCTCTCTCTCTCACCTTCTTTCTCTCTTCCCCCCTCTCTCTCTCCCCTCTCTCCCCCCCTCTCTCTCTCTTCCCCCCTCTCTCTCTCCCCCCTCTCTCTCTCCCCCCTCTCTCTCTCTTCCCCTCTCTCTCTCTCTCTCTTTACCGCTCTTATCATGAATAATAAATTTCTTGTTCCGATATCCTTGACAAAGGTGCACTGTTTCTTTTTCCGGTTTAATTCTGCTTCAAATTATGAATATTTCTAAAAAATATTGGTTCTTGAAATCTTTTGCAAAACGGAATAGATATCTAAATGCAATACAGCGTAACCCGGATATAAGAGACTTGTCGGGACCGGAGAAGAGGTCTCTTATATCCGGGTTTCTCTTATATCCGGGTTTGGTCTATTTTGTTTCGGTTAGTATGGGAACTCTTTGGGACCAGAGAAAATCTCTCTTATGTCCGGGTTTCTCTTATATCCGGGTCTCTTATATCCGGGTTACACTGTATAAGAATGAATGATAGGAATAATTTTAAATTAACCTCGATTTAAGATAATACTAAGACTCAGTAGAAACAGCGCGCGCAATAACCGAGCAGTCAGGGTCGGTGTGTACTACCCCCGAATTCCCGACGGGGGCCGGGGAGATGTCTGATTGCGCAGTTCTTTGTGAGCCTCGCTATCATATCAAAATTTGCTTTTTCCTACATTTATATACATTACAAATTAAACTAAGTACAACTGACTATTAAAGGATGAAAAATTCGCAGATTTTAACTAAACTGTATATAGTTCCAAGTTAGAACTCTTCTGATTCCAAATCTCAAATCTGGTCAAAAAAATCAAATTGTAAAAATATAGTATCAATTTTATCTCTTATCAGGTCGAATTAAAATTTAAATTTGTACCATCGTTAACCCCCCAAATCAAGCTTGACCATCAACTACATATTGAACTTTAAAGTATGCCTTAACCCCAGAGTCAAATCACAAACAGCTTTTCACTTCCTTTATATAAATCAAAACAGAAAAGAGGAAACATATTCAAAATGTCTGCTGTCAATACCACATTTAAGGCTGATTTGTGGGATTTAAAGGTCGTCTTGTACACGGAAATATATGGCAATTTAACCAAGGAAACCTAATTTAACCTAAGTGCAAAGTAGGACAAACTTCTTTGATTAAATTAAACCAAAAGAATTTAAACTATTATAAACAGTATTGAATTGATTTAACTTTCTTATTACTCACAAGGAAAAATGTTCGAGTGTTTTATCCTGGGGACATCCTAGGGGTGTTTATCTGGGTACGCCACCAAGATATTAAGATTTGCTTTCACGTTTTTATTGTGTTGGTCGCAGTATCCTGTTCTTGTGCTGCATTTTACATCCAGTTAATTTCAAGGATTTCAAACTGAAACTATTACTTTATTCAGAGTCGTTGCAAGATATTCGTATACTTGTAAACTTCACAATAGTTTTTAGCTATTGAAAATATGAAAGCAGGCGTCTCTGTGGACAATTGTAGGGAATCAATATTCAGTTAGCGAACAAAAAATTGAGGAAATTGAACAAGAATTGTATTGATCAGTTATGACAAATCAGAATTAATTTTCAATACGATGGCACACATTCAGATAGATAGATAGATAGATAGATAGATAGATAGATAGATAGATAGATAGATACGAAAAAACGAAGATAGATAGATAGATAGATAGATAGATAGATAGATAGATAGATATGAAAAAACGAAGATAGATATGAACAGAATGATATAGATATAAACAAAATGATCGCTAGCTAGCTAGCTAGATAGATAGATAGATATGAACAGAATGATATAGATATGAACAAAATGATAGATAGATAGATATGAACAGAGATAGATAGATAGATAGATAGATAGATAGATAGATAGATAGATATGAACAGAATGATATAGATATGAACAAAATGATAGATAGATAGATATGAACAGAGATAGATAGATAGATAGATAGATAGATAGATAGATATGAAAAAACGAAGATAGATAGATATGAACAGAATGATATAGATATGAACAAAATGATAGATAGATATGAAAAAACGAAGATAGATATGAACAGAATGATATAGATATGAACAAAATCATCGCTAGCTAGCTAGATAGATAGATAGATATGAACAGAATGATATAGATATGAACAAAATGATAGATAGAGAGATATGAACAGAGATAGATAGATAGATAGATAGATAGATAGATAGATAGATAGATAGATAGATAGATATGAAAAAACGAAGATAGATAGATATGAACAAAATGATAGATAGATAGATAGATAGATAGATAGATAGATAGATAGATATGAAAAAACGAAGATAGATAGATATGAACAAAATGATAGATAGATAGATAGATAGATAGATAGATAGATAGATACGAACAGACTGAGATACAAAGAAAGAAAGAAAGAAAGAAAGAAAGAAAGAAAGAAAGAAAGTGTGATGGGGGAGAAGAGACAAAGCTTAAGTGCTGATTTTCAACATTATTTAACATGGACAAGTTTATATAAGTTCTATAATTTTTATACCTTTTATATTTTACAGATAATGTTAACTTGATTTCGAGAAGTTAAATATAAATTATTTGTAATTTTTTTTTACCTCCAGATGATCGTCCCCTATGGCATAAAACCTTCATTTTAGACATTCACGTTTTTCTCTCTATTTCACATTTCTTTTTTTTTTTTTTTTAAATTAATCAAATAAATCAGCAACTTTCTTTATAACAACACCATAGTTTGTGCTCTTTTGCAGTCGCCTCAACTGTGTACCTATTTCCGTAAAGGCCCCTTTCCTCCAATACTTTAAAATGTCGAAAGAAGACAGTTCGTTGTTGCTTCGTGTCTATCTCCCATTGAACATTTTAAAGATGATGATGCAAATAAACACAGTCTGCTTTGTTCGTGTTTTCACCGTCGAATAAAAGATGCTTGTAGTTCTGTTATAAATAAACCAGGAATCTTGATGACGACCTTCTATCTATGGAAAGGAAAAGATGTCTATGTTGGAGGAGATGTTTATCATATCTTTCCCATGTTTAACTCTCTTGAAAAAATTGTGTTGCTGTTTGTTTGTTTGTTTTTTTTAATAGATTTATTTTTTAACTGGATTTATTTTCAAACTGAATTCTACAGCTTCTTATTTTTTTTTTAGAATAAAATCTTACTTTATTCATAAGTAGGGCTGCCAAATTAGAAAATTAGAAATATGGAACTCTGTCTCTTTCTTTTTATATATATATATATATATATATATATATATATATATATATATATATATATATATATATATGTGTGTGTGTGTGTGTGTGTGTGTGTGTGTGTGTGTGTGTGTGTGTGTGTGTATAAGTGAACAATGAAGTCACCACCCAGAGGCGACAGGCTGTTTCATGCTAGACGCAATCGTCAGGCCACATGATCTCATCAACTTACAGTTGAGTTGGCTAGATATAACCGTAAATTCTATGCTAACAGTTTCTTTTATCGCACTTCTCGCTTGTGGAACTCCATTCCAGCTCCATGCTTTCCAGCCACCTTTAATCTGCAAAAATTTCAAATGCAATGTCAACCACTATCTACTGTCCTCTTGATTACTCTTTCCACTTCCTGCTCATTATTAATGTTCCTGTTCCTAATTCTTCCACATCCAGTAACCCTTTGTGTCAGTGGCTTTACTGTCTTTCATGGGATGATACCGATTAAAACAAAGCCTGTCGCCTCTGAGTGTTGACTTCAATGTTCACTTATACGGTGTCCCTGAAAGGTCAGTACGGGACAGGGGACAAAATTATCGAATGTTCAGTATGGAAGCCCTACTCATAAAGCAAATATTATATTAGGAGAAAATAAATGGCCATTTTTACGTTGCATTTGTGTGATGAGTTATTTTCTTTTGGGTTGGAACAACAGTTGGTAATGTTTTTCGGTGGGAATTTCACTTCACACGTGACTTAAATTTACGACGTATATACATATTCTGAAAGGTGACATTTTAACGCGCTTTTCAATAGGACGTGTGTGGATTGTGAATTTTAAATATTTGTACGCTAAAAGTGAAAAGGTTTCTCTTTTGTCTCCGCAAGGGAATAACGTTGTAGAACAGCAAAAATATATGCCGTTTATGGAGATGGTGCAATAGCTGACAGTGCTGTTCGTAAATAGTTCACCAGCCTGTGGAGTAGAAATTTTGATCTAAAATACTGAGAACGTCAGGGTGGGTCTGTAGTTATTGATGATGACCAAATCGAAATTTAAAGTATTAGGTTGGCCAGAAAGTCCTGACTCAATTAGGAAGCGGAAACAAATCTTGATCTCTGTCTTGTGGAATTTCCAAGGACTACTGAATTCCGAGCTTGTTTCATATGGTCGCGCCATCAACGCTAAACTATTGCCAGCAGGTAGACCGCGTGTACGACAAACTAAAGAAGGAACATCCTGCTTTGGTCAATAAAGGTCTGGCTTTGTTTCAGCAAATGCGAAGCTACACACTGCCAGGTTAACTAAGGAGAAGTTCAAACAGATGGATGGTGTTGAGATTCTTCCACATCCACCATTTAGTCCCGATGCTGCTCCGAGTGACTATGGCTTATTCCGCTCAGTGGCACACTTCCTCCGTGACCAGCGATTAAACTAAGTTTGAATACCCTGCTTTAGTCAATCACTCTGCCAGGTTGACTAAGGAGAGATTCAAACAGATGGACGACGTTGAGTGTCTTCCACATCCACCATTCAGTCCCGATCCAAGAGACTATGGCTTATTCCGCTCAATGGCACGCTTCCCCTACGACCGGCGATTCAACACTTTTGATGAAGTGAAGGAAACTAGTATCTGGGACAGATTCAGATGCTGGCTGATTTCTGGCAGGAGATATTTGAGAATGATGGACTTTATTTTGAAGAATGTTGGTGTTGCTTCATAAAATTTTGTTGCTTTCTTTCCGCTACTTAAGTGAGTCAGGACTTTCTGACCGACCTAATAATTTAGGTCACACGACACAGGACGCTTTCATGATAATTGTTCGGATGAGCCCTTCGCTATGGTACCTAGACTTTATGAATTTAAGCGCAGTACTAGACTGGCGTCGAGATCTCCTCAGTTTACAGTTGAGCTGGTTAGATGTAGCCGTAAGTCTTATGCTAACAGTTTCTTTTCTCGCAATTCTCGCTTGTTGAACTCCCTTCCGGCTTCATGCTTTCCAGCTAACTTTAATCTGCAATCACTACTGCCTCCTGGTTACTCTTTTTTCTTCCCGTTCATTATTATTGTTTCTGTTCTTAATTCTTTCACACCCTGTAACTCCTTGTATCTTAGTGGCTTTACTGCCTTGCTTGGAACGATACCGATTAAAAAATGTCAGCGGAAAATGTATTTAAAAAGAAAATTATACGGAAGGTTTCACTTTTAGAATTTGAAAATTCGTAAAAGAATCGAATTTTGAGAAATGTTTTTAAATCAAAGGCAAAAATAATTTAAAAAAAAAAAACAACAACAAAAAAAAACACGAAAACAAACAGACACACAAACCAGACGCGTTATTTTTTAATTTTTTTTTTCTTTTCTTTCTTTTTTTCTTTCCTTTTTTCTTTTTTTTCTTTTCTTTCTTTTTTTTTTTTTTTAGAAATAACATTATAGCTTCTTTTGTAGACCGGTCGATATATTGAACGATCGATTTGTGATAATACAGCAAAAGAGAAATGGGTTGTTTTCTTTATTATTTTGTGCTTTTTAAGCTATGAATTTGTGGCTTCTATTCCTTTGCTATTAAACCCCTCAGGGTTTTTGCAAGCACTATTTCCAAAACAAATATTGATATCTGTCAGTAAAAAAAAATATAATGATTTTTTAATTATATGTACTGTTTCTTATACTCTCTAATGCATTTGTTCCCAAACGGTGCGACACGCCTCATAGGTGCTGTGCTAGAGGATAGCAGGTGAGGCGGAATGATTGAAAAACAATCAAAGATTGAGAAACAGTTTCAAAATATTCATATGGCAAAAATAAATATAATTTTAAATTTTTTTTAAATATTATTAAACATTACTTGTAATTGCATGCAGAGGCCCCAGTATAAAGAGTTATAAATAATTATTAACCGATTTTTGTATTATATCGTGTATTAAGAATATAGTAACTAGGGTTCGGAAATTGGAGGAGAGAGTTATCATTGATAATGTTCTGACTTAGAATTTTCTGTTACCATTTTTTAATCCTATTTTTTAAATGTATTTTAATAAAATTTTGTGGGGCACGAGCAAATTTTCACTCCGAAAATGTTGCCCAGAGAAAAAAGTGTAGGGACCTCTGCTTCAATGAAACTGTGATGACTGATCTTGTTTGAATTTTTTTTAGACGATGTGTTTTAAGCCTAGTGTGTGTTATATGCTATTACTTTTATGGAATGAAGTTAAAATAATAAGAAGACGCATCGGAGAAAAAGTAAATTCACTCCAAAAATATTAAATCATCCTAAGTAAAAAAGTAAATTCACTCCAAAAATATTAAATCATCCCAAAATAAAAAGAATTTATATTTACTAAAATTCACACTAAATTCTTCTAGAGCGAGGCCCTTCCATTGCACTCCGTTTGGGTTGACCTTTACGATCGCATCAAATGTGGGCGACTCGTGTGCGCTATTATTTCTAAGTGTGGGGGTTGACATTCGCGCTCACCTCGATAAACAAACCAAAAACAGATTAAATTTTTTTTTTTTAATTGTGGTATAAAATTCCTTGTAAGTATGTCGAATATCATCCGCACTTATGGAATGTGAATAATTCCCTGATTTTTGGTCATTTTTCATTCTGAGGGTTATAGTTGTTTAGAGGCAAGCCAAACAAATTTTGATAAATTTTGGGGTCTGCATTCGCGCTCACCCCAATAAGCAAGCCAAAAAGAGACTTCTTTTCTTTTTTCTTAAATTCTAAAATATTTCCTTGTAAGTATGTCGAATATCATCCGCACTTATGAAATGTGAATAACTCCCTGATTTTTGGTCATTTTTCATTATGAGGGTTGGAGTTTTTGCAAGGCAAGCTAAACAAATTTTGATTTAAAATTTATAATTTCAAAAGTGAGCCAAAAATTTAATGAAAAATACTTTGATTTAAAATTGACAATTTCTTGGGGTGAATTAATATTTGCGATAAGTAACTTTACATTATTTGGTGTGAATTAACAGAAACGGTCCAAAAAGTATTTTGGAAGAATTCTCAAAGATACTGAATGAGCAGTCCAAGTATAGACATTAATAGCATGTGGCAACCACTAGTCAGGAAGTGACAAGCTTTGGAATTTATAAGCACAGCCAGAGAGATAAAAGCATGTTTAAAGTTCAAAAGAAAGTCCCAAATTCAGCGCAGTGGTCAAAATGGGACAATCCGAAGACCACTGAAACGAAAGAACCGGACTTGACGTCTATGAGAGAAAATGATTACGTTTTCTTGGAACAAGGTTCGACAACATTCTAGAACACAACAGACACTGGAATAAG